CCCAATAAATGAAGGCCGACCTGTCAACAATAACCATTAATGAATTTCATTGTATGATAACACATTAAATGGTTTTAGATATGTCAAGGCATAATTACATGTGCATATATATACAAAACTGTTACCCATTACTGTTCCCGACTATTTGGGGTTTCGAGAAGGGTGGATTGGATATGAATTAACTTAGAATTGATCTTTAAGTTAGTCCGGTGACATCTTGATAAATGTATGAAATATCATATATCTCAAGATGTGAGAAATATGCCTTGTTACTCATAAACCTCAAGGTTGAGCCTTGAGTTGTATTACTTAAGCCTTGCCTTCAGGTGACCCTTGGGGTGTAAGCGTCATTTACCTTTTTTTTTTGATAATAAAGGGAAATTACACAAGATGAGGGAGACCTCTCCTAGCAACATCCAGAAAAGAGATGAAATTTAAATCCCACAGAAAATTCTGAGGCATTGCAACATTGTGTTTGTGGTGATGACTCTTGTTAGCTAATCAGTCTGTTGACTCTGCTGTACAGTTGCCCTCTCCATGAGTATGGTTGTAAGAGACTTAAAATGGCAGGCTTCTAGCAATCTTCTTGCAGTCTTTGAGAATCCGAGAACATCTTCAAGGAGGTGAAATTCATCTTGAAGCACCTTGATCCTCACAAGAGAATCACCTTGGATGCTAAATTAATGGGCTTGGAGAACTGCCCACATATCTGCAACTTTTATTGTTGTCACCCCAATTTGGCCCATTTTTGCCACAAAGATTCGGCCCTTAAGATTTCTCATGATGCAACCAAGGACACACCTTCCATCCTCAACCATCGAAGCATCAAAATTATCTTTTACTTATCTACTGGTGAGGGGATCCAATGAATCCATCTTAATTTTTTTGTGTCCAACGGCCTTGCATCCAAGGTTTGACAAGTTGATTCATTGAATTCTTTTAAACTAGCCCAAGCTTTTGCTATTATCTTTTGGGGAGAGTAGGATTTATTTTTGAAGATTTTTTCGTTTCTGTTTTTCGACAAGTACCAGAAAAGGTAGCTTATTTTCTCCCAAAACACTGGAATTTTTTATTCAATTTGCTCTTCCATCATTTTTTTTCCACCAACTCCGTTAGGTTCCAGTTTGGCTCCCTCATCTAAGCTTTAAGATTTGTGTCCACTAGGGTCCAAGCTTGTTGGGCTAGTTGACAATTTACAAATAAAAATGGTCTCTATCCTCAGGTTCTCCACAAAACATGTAGTCCGGAATAAGGTGGATCCCTCTACTAAGTAAATTCTTCTTTCTTGGAATTTTATCAAGAAGGAACCAAAGGAAATTTTCATTTTTATTTTTTCCTTGCTTTTTTGATTAACTCGACTATGTCTTAATCCACAGAAGCTTGGTCTGCAAGGATCTATAGGCTGCTTTTAGGGTGAGGTTTCCAATTGATGAGTCTCCCCATAGCCTTTTATCTTCCTTTTCTTCTCTAGTTTCACCAACAGGGCCAAAAGCAATTCAACTCTCTTGCCAGATTTACCCATAGGGGAAAGCAACTCAACTCCTTTGTCATTTTCACTTACAATTTTAGCAGTTATTAAGATACGTGCCACATGAAATTTTAACCGAACCACTATAGCTTATATTCCATATTGAAGGGTTTTGGTCTTGCTACCAATTCTGCATGGCTGGTTCACGGGAACAACTCGCGTTGCTCTAATGATGGACATACGTTTGGTTGGACCGTTTGGCCCGAAGCACTAGCTTAGATGGTAGAACCACTATTTTTAAACCATCATTTGGTTGGACCATTTGGCCCAGGAACCCTCCAGGCAACCAGTTCTATTCCACCCTCTAGCCCGTTTTTTGGCCAATAACCCGCTGACCCGGGCGATCGAATTGTCAACCCATTTAACAGTTTATGGCTGTTTTTTTTTATTTTAATTATTTTTTATTAAATTGGAATGGGCCATCTGTTCAACCCGGATGGTTGAACTGTTGACCCAGAAACCAGTGGCCAGAACGGTTTCAGTTCCGGGTCGATTTTTAAAACCTTGAGTAGAACCACAGAACTGGTGACCTAGTGGGCTTTTTACATCCCGGTTTTTAAATTGAGGGTTTTATTCGCCTATACTGCGTAATTTTGCCTTCTATTTTTTTTTTTTTCTTCTTGTAATCTGCAGTTGTCTTATTTTGAAAAGAGAAAAAAAAGAAAAAGAAAAAGCAAAATCATGTCAACTGGCGAACGGTAAGCTTTTCAATTTCGCATTCCATCTAGGTTTGACAATTGCTTAGGACTTTAGAAAAAAAAAAAAACAAGGAGAAAATAGGAATTCTTGGGGTCACCAATGGCACATTTTTGCTTGTTTTTTGAAATTTTATTTAAATCCAACAAGTTGCTTTAGATCTATCTACCACTGTACCTACTCCTAGTGGTTGTATCGTTTTTCCTTGGTTTTGACAAATGTTTCCAACTTCCAATATCTTGATCCTGGTTGAGCCACTTCCAGTGAGGCTATTAGGCTATAGTTAGAATGTGTAAGGTAGTTTCAAAGGTTATGTGCAAACCCATGACTTTTGCTTCTTTGATTTTTGGATCACTTTCTTCTTTGATCTTTATTGCCACATCTGGTGGGGTTGTATAGTCCCATTTTTTTCCCTGATGGAAAGCAAAAGTGTTTGTTGTTCTAGGCATTTTTGTCTTGGGCTTTGAATGGGATGTGATTCTTTGTGCGGTCCCATGATCCCATTTGACAGATTGTAGTGGGGCAATGTGGGAATCCACATTCCCCAAAAAGAAAGTGGGAAGCACATTCTATGCTTGGATCTTGGTTTCAGGCTTAACATGACAGAATGCTTGTTTCATCCTGCTGTTATTTGTTGTGTAGTCTTTACTCTTTGGCTTAATAAAAGCTTTAAAACAAACCATGACTATGAACCCAAACACTTCTATGGTTGTTATTTTTCTTCTCTTATCCAATGTCATATCTACCGTCTTCATTGCCGTATATGAGGTCGACTTACAATGTCAAAATCTATCATCATCAACATTATTACCAGTAGTTAATGGGGTCGTTGCATGAATCCATTCTGTTCTATCTAATTACCAATTATTACCATCTATAATGTTATAATGTTTACCGAGGGACCCAAATCCATTGCATTAATTTATGAGAAATAAATACTATTGCTTGCTTAATTTTATGTTAGGTTTAAAGTATTGATATAGGATGTATCGTATTTTATCATGTTTACAGCTGTTTTTATGAACTGCTTTTTGTTAAATAATATATAATTATATTTAAAATAGAAATTTGAAAAAAAAAAAACTAAAAAAATAAAAAGCGTATTGGTTAAAAGTATTGATTCACCTCTGCTCATACTTTAAACCATGTATTGATGATACTTTGAACCATCATTTTATGTGGTCTCCATCATGGCCCTGAAAAGCAAGCTTGGGCTGTTTCAAAGCTTTCTGTTCATGACACGTTATTTCACTTAGTTCTTCATTTGTCCTTCTCGATCAAAAGATATTGATTACAATTACATCTTTACCCCACACCCACGCTTTCGTGTCATTCACATAAAGCTTTAAAACAGACTTCCCAAACATACCCCGCCTCAGTGTGGGCCTGGCCCAGAGTTTTTTATTTTTTTTTTCCCTGAGGCCCAGGAACTTTTGTGCTGGCCCCTTCAGGCTTCAAGTTGTAGAACCACAAAGTTGAATAGCTAATACACACGTAGTCATGCTTCATGCAACCCAATCATAGCCAATGCTTACCCTAAGAGAAGTAGGATTACACTATCAAATGGGCAAATCATGCTCCACGTGTTGATTATTAAACTGGACCCACGAGGCATTCCTCATTTCTCAGCCTTTGGATTGGAATGTTGTATTGGTTGGGGTTGGGGTTGGTCTTGGTCCCACCACTTTATGTATTATTCAATACTAATTGGAGACCTCCCATTCAAAATTATTACTTTCCTTCCTTAGAAAAGTAAAAAAAAAAAAATTACATTTATAATTTCTGTCGTATCGTTCAGATTTCAGAAGGCAATTTGCAATTTCCATATCACCAGAGCCTGAGGTCTGATCTCTTTAAAAGGACTCAACGCGTGTGCTTGCCTACTTCTCACTGTGTTGTGCACCTATCTATTTGATTCCTACCGTCCTACACCGAAGAAACATGTGATTCAACTACTTCTCCCTGGCCCCTCCCACGGCCACCTCTATAACTATAAGAGATCTCCACCATTCAATCCTTGGCGTTGGCCCACCACGCTCCAGATTATCACGTAACAGTTGTATTTGAGGTTAAGTGGGTCGGTTGATACTAGATAATTTGTTGGGTTAAGGCTGCAAAGAACAAATTTGAGGGGGATGGATTTGTTCTACCCATTTAAAAATTTCAACGGCCCAGATTCATTATGGTAAAAAAATCTGTTAATTAAGAGTGGAAGTGGCCCGTTATCAAATGGCCCCCTCATTATTTAGTTAACCGGTAACCGATAAATCCCCGTCAACTGACCTTCGTTTCCTTAAGAGCTACGTCTGAGGATTGACTAACCGCTGATCTCAATACAGTAAAAAACTGCTGGCCCAAATGGTTTCAGTTGTGCAGGTTATCGGTGGCCCCACCTTCGGGATGAAAACAACACAACCGGGCTCCGGTGGCCGCCCACATTTGTTTGGTGCCACGTGCCACGTATTAACAATTCCGTCTATACATGCGGTCGGTGGTTTACGGACGTCGTCGTCGCACATCAGGTCGCAGACTCGCAATGGCCACGTATCGAATAATAGCGTATACAAATTAACGGATCGCCGTCAAAGTTAACGTCCGTTTAGCCTCGGAAAGAGAGACCAATTGAGAATTTCTCTCCTTTGGTCCGGACAAGCTGCGGATCTTTCGAGATTGTCCCGAACCAAGAGCCTCGGTCTTTGGTTCGGATTCATGCGATCGGACGGCCTAGATTGGGTCTCTTATTTTGTTTTGATATTTTAGGCCCAACCACCCAGAAAAGGCTTATACAACACTACTGCTGGTGCTGGAGTCTAGAGCTCAGTTCGTTGTTTGGGGTTTTGGCGCCGTCGTTGTTTTTCGCCGATTTTTACTTCACCGGACGTTAGGGTTTCCGATCGAACTACCCTTTGAGAGCAATGGAAGAGCACGCCGGGGGTTCGGCTCCTGCGTCTGAGTCCATTATGGAAAAGATAACGGAGAAGCTTCGTCTTGGCCACGATTCGTCGTCGTCGTCTGATTCAGACAACGAGGAATCGTCGCCGTCGGCCGTCACGGCGGCGGTTTACCGGCTCTTTGGGAGGCAGAAGCCTGTGCACAAGGTCTTTGGTGGAGGAAAACGTACGGTACCATTTGTGGAAATTGGTTCACTTATTCGATTACTTCCTTTTAGAGCGTAGAATAGTGATTGCTGGTTAAGATTTCTCGATGGGGATAACCCTATCTCTTTTATTTCTTTGCTGCTTTGATTTTTCTGGCTTCGGAATTAGAGTTTATGGTTCTAGATTTTTAGGGTTTGATGATCCACGGCTTATGTTTCTCGATTTTTATTCTCTTTGGGTCGTATTTCTTTTAATACTTGCTTATTCAGATGGATCTTATATTTCGATCAATCGAGCTCCTTAGATTTAGAAGCTAGGAGATCTCGAAGCTTGTAAAAAGCATTTCTATTTTACCGAATTGCGTCGATGCGATTGATGCTTAAAAAGGTTCATATTTTTGGCTTTCTTTTGGGATTTTCATGTTCTTTTCAAAGTAGAAAAGATAATTTTGCGACTCTTTCTTTCCCCCTTCACTTCAATTTGGTAGCTTTGGAACTGTTGTGCACCATAATTTCTGCCCTACAGAATCTGGATTTTTGTTAGACTACTTGAACTACTATTTGTTATACTTTTTTTTTTTATAATAAAAAGTTGGACGGGAGCATGAAACCACCCAAATAATTTTCATGCAGCTGCCGATGTTTTCTTGTGGAGGAACAAGAAGATTTCTGCCGGTGTGCTTGGTGGAGCAACTGCGACGTGGGTTCTCTTCGAGTTGCTGGAATACCATCTGCTGACTTTAGTATGCCATTGCCTGATAGTCTCCTTGGCTGTGCTGTTCCTTTATTCCAACGCCATCGCATTTATGCACAAGTGAGATTTTGCGCCCATGATTCCCGTTCGTTTGATCTAATCGGTTGTTATTTGTATTTGGAATCTCAACTCTGCTTTTCATGCAGGACGCCACCACGCATCCCAGAAGTTTATATTCCTGAGGATCCAGTTCTGCAGTTTGCTTCCGCTTTGAGAATCGAGATCAACCGAGCTTTTGCAGTCCTCCGAGATATTGCATCAGGAAGAGATCTGAAGAAGTTTCTCGCTGTATGCCCATCTCTTTCCAATGGTTGCCATAAAAGCTGCTGATTTTTTATCGTTTGGAAGTCTACCTCTTGTTAATGGATGAATGCTTTCGTATATGGAACCTCATATACTACAAGATTGCATCTTGCAGGCATGATTTATTCAAACTTGTTTTTATACGACTGATAACTCATTAGGGATCATTGGTTGTGGTTAATCAGGTCATCGCTGGTCTTTGGGTTCTATCAATTGTGGGGAGTTGGTGCAACTTCTTGACTTTGTTTTACATAGGTATTACAATGAGCTTTTTTTATTTCTCTATATTTGCTTGTTTGCATTCCTCTTAACATTGACTAATATATACTTGTCAAACAAAAAAACAGCTTTTGTTTTGCTCCACACTGTACCTGTACTCTATGAGAAATACGAGGATCAGGTTGATTCCTTCGCGGAGAAGGCAATGGCAGAGATCAAGAAGCAATATGTAATATTTGATGCCAAGGTTCTAAGTAAAATCCCAAAGGGACCATTGAAAGACAAGAAACATGCATAGGGAGGAAGCTGAGATGTTCTAGTCATTTGTAGGTTCAGACATTTGGGTAGCTTTGGTTTTTTTCATGGTGATGATGTGACTCTTATATCCATTATTGGTTTGAACCCTATGTTTTTGTTTATGTTTTCTAATGCTTTTTGGGTTCCCAAGTTGGATGAGAATGGTGTTTCAAGGATTGGTTCAATCTTTAGATCTTGATCTGCTTGCATTATCTACATGTATGGGAGCATTTGCATGGTTGTCCTTGTCATGAGCCAATCTGGTGATGATATTGATATATTGCCTTGTAAATGGTTTTCCTACTTTGTTTCTTTATCTGTTTAAAACATTAATTCCTATTTGTATTACTTGCAACAAGAGGGTTATTACCTGACTCTCTGTGACATAGGGTATGTGTATTTTGCTTCGGCCAGTAGTGGTTGTGAATTGTAAGGAGGCTTCTTATGTGGGCCAGTTGTGCTTTAGCCTTTAGGTCATGGAAATTTTCATTGTTATGGTTTGAGTTTGTGAAGGGATATAGAATTCATATAGTATGTATCGTGCAATATCTGCATGGTGTTGGCTTCTGCTGCTAAAAAAGTAAATATACTTGGGTATTAGGGATTGCATTGTCTCTTTGAAAGGGATAAATCATTTTGAGAATATCTCTTTGCCCACAATATTTCACTCGAGAAGTAATTATTGGTAGCTAAATGAGCACCGTGTCTCTATTTTTTCTGGCTGGATTTGTTCAGAAACCGGTAAGCCTGCTATGAAAATGGTCTCAAGTTTCAATTTTTCGGGACTTGGTAAACTGTTAGTGTGAAGGGTTGTGGTAAACGTAGCGGACGTGGCATACTAATATGACCAAGATACTAGTAGGATACACCCTAGAACAGAACACTGCGGTAATTTGTCTTGGTCCCTAGTGTTTTGTTATTCACCCAAACACTATAACAAGGCTGGCTATGACCTGGTTTCACTTGAGGTTTTCTGAAACTTTTGATTGATTCATTTTCTCTTTCAAGGCTTGAGTTTCTTTTTTCATTTTTTTTTTTTGTTGATGGTTAGCTGGATTACATGTTTGTCGATGTAGTGTTCAGAACGAATTTTAACTCTTGCAGTGTTGTTGTAGCCTTTGGTTACATTTGTTCAATCAAAATCATCCATGTCTGCGAAAGTATTAAAGCTTGACAATTTGACATGAATCGGTTGCATCATGCCAGCGTTGTGTAACACCAAAACTGAAATCCCAACGGGCTCTGTACCAGATGTATGGTATGCTTTCATTTTCCCACCCTTTTGCTTCTGACGGCTGACCAACCAGTTTTGGAAAAGTTGTTCCTGTTCAAACGTTCAACGTACATACATTGCACACCATGTCGAATTTTGCAACCAATGCGAAAAATGATCGCTATTCATGCCGGAATACCCCCAAACTCAGAAATATACATCCCATATTCCCAATCATCTGCAGCATTTTAAGTTACTGTTACTTGAAACATTTTAAAATTCCCAAAACAACTCTTATTGTACAGGTGTTCAAGATATATATGGACATTAGGAAAATCTATGATACCAAGTATTGGAAGAGTTTTGACCAATCAAAATCACTCCCATGAATACCCCTGACCCTGAGTGGTCATCTTTTTTATGATACCGGTTGTGGGGCGGTATATTTTTCCGACATCATGTCTTTCCCGTATGATAGACATCCTTTTATTTAAGGGCTAACGGCATTGGACCAGGGTACTCAAGTGTTGCATTTAAAATTCAGGTACCCATCTTCTATTACTAAATACTACCCCGAAGTATAAGATACTTACCTGTAATTTACCTAATTTATATAATTTATTTGACATTAAAATTTCAAGTAACTGGCATAGGTCCCAAACGTTGCATCATCTGTTTCATGTGATCAAAGAGACTAACCAAAACGAGCACTCGTTTTCTAAGGTTCCATTATCACATATTATCTCTCTAGCTGGCTATTAAGACCATAGTTTTTGAACCACTGTTGACCTGGATGGTTGGACCATTCGGCCAAAGAACCATCCAGGCAACCAGTTCTATTTTACCCCAAATCCAGTTCCTCCAAAAACCATTGATCAGGGTGGTTGAACCATCAACTTGTTCAATGACTTTTGGCCATTATTAAATTTTAATTATTTTTTTATTTTTAATTTATTTTGTCAGAACAGGCCATCTATTCTGACCAGATGGTCGAATCGTGTCCCGTTTTTGGGTCACTTTTTAAAACATTGATTAAGACGGTGCTTCTGTTTTTTACAAAAATAAAAAAAAAAGTTTAATGGGAAAATGTGTGAGCAAATGTTCTACAAATGCATATCGAGCCCTCAAATCCAGGAAGGTTCCTTCGTTTAATATTAAGATAAAATGGAAGTCATGCCATGCCAATGGAGTTTAAACTTTGAAGCAAAGGACATTTTTCAAACATACCCACCTCAGATATTTCTTCAGGTGCCATTACCAATTACCAATTTTTAAGAAAATGCCGCCTACTGCAAATTTCAAACATTTTGGAACATAAATGCCAATCTTGTTTTTGTCAGACTTACAAATGTTACAGAGACCACACAATACACATTACGCATTCACAAAATAAACCACTCTGCAAATTTCCTTCATATATGAAATACCTACTTTTTGAGTTTTCTCACGTAATAAATAAAGGCCAATTCTACATTGGTTGTATCCCACACTGGGTGGGCTTCAAGGGCTTTTTAAATTACAAGGGGCATATGATACAACACCATAAAAAAATTTAAGACACAACCCTAACAAAGAAAGCTCTAGACCTAATACTTGGTCTTCAGACTCCACAATATCATGTGTTTGATGAACAATGCTTAAATCTTCCAGAGCACAATTGGAGGCAGTAGTTCACTGGTACATGATGCACACATACCTAATATTTTCTGGGAGAAAACCACATGGTGGTGGTTCCAGCTAACCATGCACGGCAATAGCTACATTTTCTGGTGAGCTTTCTTCCTGTAAAAAACTGTGAAGAGCTTTTTATCAATTACTCACCAATGTCAGCATCATCCATAATCATTGAGCTTCGTATACCTTCTCTAAACTTGTATTCTTTTTCAAAGAGAACGGTGCCGGTGAGTTCAGAGGATGGGATGCCTCCTTCAACCACCCCCTAAAGGAAGTATGATAACTGCTGCTTCTTCCTTGAACCTCCTTCCCCATACAATTCATTCCACTGCTTCAGTTCGCCCATAATAGACCCCTCAGCTGCAAAACTAGCCGCAACCTGCATTTCACAGTTAAATTATATTCAGAACTCGGAAATGAAATTTCCTAGGTATTTCACTAAGATGGACGCCTATTAAATGATCCTGATTGGTTGCCACTTTCGGTACCGTTTGATTGGTTATAAGTTTTTTCGGCATCATAGTCAAACCCTTTTGACAATTAATAAATACTACGATGATATCATTATTAAGATACACCTAGATTCATCATGAAAGATAGTCACAAAATACAACATGATGCCACAGAACCACCCTTTACTTAGTCCTTTAGCTTTCCAAAAATAAAATCTGCAGATATTCCAATCTTCACAACAATGACGTCACATAGACTTACCTGATTCTTTGCCTGCCTCATGTCTTCCATGTTTAGTGGCCTGAGGGTAATAACTCTCTCCTCTTTACCCTCTTCTTTTGTATCTGAGGCCTCTTCTGAGTTCTGTCCTTCAGCTTTGTGCTTTCTCTCCTACACATACCAAAGTATAGGACGACTATCAAAAGGTAACTCTGATGCATTCATCTTGCAACGAGTTGGTCAAAAAGAGAAGAAAAAGGTAAAGAAAGGTGCGCATCTTCATTATACGGTCCAGAGCACCAAACTGAACCAAACCAAACCGTAGGTGCGCACGACTATCAACGGTCTTTTATGGTGACTAAAAGACCGTTATTTATGCAAGCATATATGTTGTTTGTGCTTTCTACTTGGCTTAAGCCTAATAGAATGGCCCAAACCATAATAAAATGATTTGGTTTGGCCTCAGATCTCTAAACCACACCAAACCAAATCGTGAACACCCCTAAAGAAAAGGAAATTTCAGAAAGAAAATATTCAAAAGTGTATACATACCAAATCCTTGAGTTTTTCCTGCTGGATTAACTCTCTAACTGGCCGATAAGCTGCTGTTGTACACAAGTTCTGTATTCAACAGTTACAACTTGCAGTTAGTCAAATCAGATAATAAATCAAGTTGTGAAATGATAAATATAGAGATACAAACCTTCAGGTCACTCCCACTGTATCCTTCTGTCATGTTTGCAAGCTCCTTAAAGTCTAGTCCTTCTTCAACCTTTTCTTTGGCCAAAAGTGTCCTCAAGATCATTTCCCGGTTCTCCGCAGAAGGTAAACCAACCATAATTCTGTCCATCATAGCGAGAATTTATAAGAAGCACTATTATAGCTCAATGACAATATTTGGGCGTCATATCTACAAAGTTTTTGTTTCTTTAATAAACTGCCCATTCAAATGACTTAAAACTTGATCTTAGTAACAAGTCATAATTATCAGATCACAATTGAAGGTTCTTAAATGTAAATTACTGAAAGAGGTGGCTTAAGACCAATAAGTTGGCAACTAACATAACATCTGAAAGTCATTTCTTGATATATCTTGGCTTGCTCAGTTTACATTTTCCCTGATACTGCTCCCACAACCCCACCATATTGATTTTCAGTTCGTTAAATGGCAGGATAATAGTGAAAAACTTTCCAGCCAAAACACAGTCGTCTAAGAAATCAAGATGGATGAATAGTTAATTGGAAATTGTTATAAACTGTCAAACTTTAATTCCCAAAGTAAGCGGTATACCTGCGTTCAAACCGCCTAATAATTGCTTCATCGAGATCAAATGGCCTGTTTGTTGCAGCAAGAACAAGGATACGTTCACCAGGTTTCGTCAAAAGTCCATCCCAATGCGTCATAAACTCATTCTTAATCTTACGCATGGCTTCATGCTCCCCAACCCTGGTTCGCTGCCCAAGCATGCTATCAACCTCGTCCACAAAAATAATTGTTGGGGAAACCTTCGCTGCAAGAGTGAAAAGAGCCCTGACATTCTTCTCATCTTCCCCAAACCATTTTGATGTGATTGTTGACATGGAGACGTTAATAAAGCTAGCACCAGCCTCTTTGGCTATTGCCTTTGCCAGCATTGTCTTTCCAGTACCCGGAGGTCCAAAGAGCAATATTCCTCTGCAAGGCTTCAAAAGACCTCCTTTAAATAGGTCCGGTCTTCGAAGAGGAAGCATGACCAGCTCCTGAAGAGATTCCTTAACCTCATCTAGTGCACCAATATCAGAAAATGTCACCCCAATATCACTTGCTGGGATCACCTCTGGCCTTATACGCTTCTCAAATTCATTGTCTGGAGGAACTTCCTGTCCAGATAGCCCTTATTAACACAAAGCAGAATTTAAACTTAATACTAAGCATGTGCTAAAGAACCATCCAAACTTGAGATTTCCTTCTCTTTTTTCTATATATTGTGCAAGTCTCCTAGCTTTTAACCAGATACCAAAAAAAATGAAAACCTAACATTTTGCATGATTCTTTTGTTTTAAAATTAAAAGCATTCACTTACCTATAAAAAAGGTAAAAGCATATACAAAGAACATGCACATCAGCAAAAAATACCCAAGTGCCATAAAACATCAACTAAAATCATGCAAGTTGAAGGAGCACAAACTGTTATCATTTTTCTGTATAATGTTGAGGAGATCGGACTTACAGATGCTTTTGCAGGAGCAGATGAATTCTCACCATCCTTCTTCACTACAGGAGCAGACTTATCAGCCTCACTTTTGTTTTCTGCTGCCAGAGTCTCAACTTTTGATTCAGGCTTCAGACCACTAATTTCATCCCCTTCAGGGTCCTAAGACCAATGAAAGAAAAGAACCATTATCTGATTTGATTGATCAGTACTCTCAGAGTGTTGAAGTAAATGGAGATAACTGAAACCAACCTTATCAGGTTCAGCATTTGCTTCCAGCTTTAAAGTATCTTTACCATTGCTTTCGCCATCCTGGAATATACTCAATCCATGGGACAAACTGTTCCAGAGTCAAAAAAGTAAGAAATAAAGCTTGAACAAGGCAAATTGGAAAACCATCATTAAGTTTGACATCTGACCTCTTGGATGAGATAACAAGCTTTCCATTTCTGTATTCAGGATCTTTGTTGTTCATCAAATGATAAGAAATTGCTGATACAATAATCTCTTCTATGTAATTACTTAGAACCATAGTATCTGCAAGGCATATTGAACCCAGATCATCACATTCGAGATCATTTGCTGCAAGAACCTCAGTAATGTGGTTCCTGTTATCCTGATATTGGATCATCTTCATGTCCTCTTCCAGTTGGGTTTTCCAGCTAACAAGGTGGCTCTCATCTTCAGGTGGCTTAATTACAATGTTGTAAGGAAACAGAAGAGTGAGCCTCTCATCTACTTCTCCATAGTCATTGCCCGGATCCAAAATCCGTGAACCAAGGATCAGCACTGGTCCTGATAATTGCTTAAACATTTTCTGGAACAAAGTGTATATCCCTTGAGATCGGAAAAGAAGTTTCTCAACATCCCTCAGGTAGAGGACAGTGGCACTGGTTTTTGACACAGAAACCAGAACCTGTAAAGAGAAATGAAATTTGATTGATGCCCTCAACATCTTTGGGAAAAAAAAATCCTTGAACTACATAAATAGCTAATGTCAAAATGGCTAAGGCATTTTCACTAACTAGACCACACTAGATATCATAGGAAGTTCAAATTCACTGCAATTATAGCCAGATCACAGAGCATTACCTTGTAAAGTGACCGTAAAAGAAGTTTATCATCAAAAGCCCAACTGCTGGTGCGCTTCAGAGAAGCTAAAGAACACGAGGACCATTAGAAATTTAGAAGTGGCAAGAGAAAACATGTCATTCAGTAATTAACAAAGTTCATATTCCAATCCATTGTTCAAAGCTATAATTTACCCTCTTGAAGTTTATAACTGGTATTGTTCAGGGATGGGGAATTGTGAGTGTAGGATCCTACACTAATCAAATCAGGAGAGAGGTGATGAGCAGAAATGGCCAGCTTATATTTACTCTTTGATTAATGCAGAGTGATGTTAATGATTATTTGTCCATTCATCATAGATTGCTCTTGTAAAAGTCATTAATATCAAATGATTAACCTTCCTCACAGAGAAAAATAGGATACATAGATAGAGTTGACAGTATAGGTGGACCAAGGTGAATTGTTACTCATGTCACAATGTAAATGTCACATATAGGGAACATTTTGGGCAACCACCAAAAGGCTCAAAAATCATTAACCTATAAGAAAATCAACTAAATTGGATGGGTCTAATGGTTCAGTTCATAGTAATCATTTTGTAACCATACACAACATGAGTAGTGCTTCAAGAATACAATTCAGAAACTCCAGAGGTAGGTGGTTATTCATTTGATTGCTTAAGCAAAGCCTCCTAAAAAGAGGCCACCAAAAATCAAATCCTACACTCCAAGTAAGATGGTTTCTTCCAACCTGTGCAATCATGAGGTGTGGAACTAACTTGAATATTTATCTTAAAATGATCAATAAATCCATGATCTCAAAAATAAATAAATAAATAAATCCATGATCTCAAAAATATAAAGAAAGAAAGAAATCCATGATCTCATTGCTAACCTACCAAGGCCATTCTTGCATAAAGAGAAATAATCAAGATGAAAAATCCAGTGATACCACATAGAAATGTCATAATTAATGCTATTAGGCAGAAGCCCTAAATGCCCCATAAGTTTCCAATCACTCTTATGACAAATAGAGCTTACTGTTTAACAGTCTTCTAACAAATTGAAGTTTTGAACACAAACCTGAATTTACAGAAGTGCATTGTGAGGCAGGGCGACTTATGTCAGCTGCAACAGAAGCATTTCCATGATGCTTTGAAGTATTATTAGAACCTTCTGTTCCCCTAAAGGAATAAGACAAGTGAAAAAAAAAGAAGAAATGCATAGTCAATATCTCTGTGTGTGATATAAATATAATTTAAATGTCTTTTTTGTGATTAATCAACAATCTATGGTTTGTCATACCTTGACCTGATATCCAAAGCGCTACTTTGCCTCCATAACTTACCTGTGGCAAAACACTCATTAGATCCATACTAAAATAAAATCCGGTATGAGTAGAAAATGAAGAGAACTACTGAATCCAAACTTGACTATCAAAAAAGCAGAGCTATTTATAAATGTAAAAGTAATTAGCCTTTGATTTTAAGGGAAACTCTCCCTCTTTTGATACAATTCTCCAACATATATATATATATATATACATGCGGAAAGATAAAGATATTAATCTTTTATCACTACATATAGAGATTTTATTTATGTAATTAAGCACCCAATCAACCAGTATCATAAAAGGGGTAACCAATCAGGAGGTATTCATCAAAATTCATGGGGGTTTTGAATTGATTGGTCAAAGCCCTTCTGACAGCATAGATTTTCACTTAATTTAATCCTGGTCAGCAATACCTTTGGAATCAAAAGGTTCCATTTTATAGAGAATAAGCTTTTTGCCACTTTATGGGGTATATGGAGAAACATGTATGCAAGACCATTTCACTACATCAGATCTTTGATTATGTATTGAGTTTTGGCTCAGAATGATTAGGAAATGAATAGCATTGATTTTAGTCCAAGTCCTCGATCTGATCAATCCATCATAAATTTCACATTGCTTTGCAATCTGGGGACTCGTGAATCCAAAGAGCCTAGATGAAATAGGGGTGAATGGCATTAATAAATGCCATTAAAAACAGCCTAGGTCAGTATGCAATTTCCGATTACAAAACTGAGCTTTATCTCCTTGTGTAGAGTCACAGTTTGGGGAAGGGTGCTATATGTGGGTTTTGTAGTATTTGGGTCACAATGTCTGAAGCACCTTTGGGAGTTGGAGCTTCCTTCTGTGTGAATATTTCTAATATTTACTTATAGATAGCAATTTAAAGAGGCAAGCAGGATCCTCACATGAAGAGGTAGGCATGTTTACACATAAGGAATCATTGGGACAGAATGAAAGAAGAGTTATTGAGTTCTAGGCTTTGCTAAAGTGCATACCTATTGTAGACTGGCATATACATCATTGATGTTCATAACTAAGACTAATTCCATTATTTTTTTCTTTTTTCCTTTTAAATGTAGTAACCGATCCACCAAAACACACTTTTACCACCAGATTATCTTATGAAATATTCACACTTCTATTTTAAGATTCAATTAGTTTTGGTTTTGCAAGATACAAATGAAGCCAAATGTTAGTTATGGAGATTTTACTAGGAGTATCAAAGTCATGGTAGTTTGGATTCAAAAATTAGAAAAGTGCTAAAGACAGCTAGGAATTATTTTCTCTTATCAATTTTGTATGCATGCATCAATGGATGGAACAATACAAGTATAAATGGTGGGTTGATTAAAAACCATTTTTGCCACTGGTGTTAACTGAATCATATTTTCATGTAGGAAATGTTTCCAAGAGTGAAAATGTTCTCTTATGGCAGGGAAAAAAGTTTTAAACTATTTTGCGTGAAATACTTCTCTAAATTACATTAAAAATGTATTTGACCTTTTTCTAAATTACAAAAAAAATAATTGTATACACCTACGCAAGTATGGGAAATGTGCCTTGCACCCCTAGTAAGTCCTGTAGTTTATTCAATACGATTACCAAAACATTTGGGGCTTAGTCAGGGGTAAATAAATCAGTGATGGCTTCTAGCTAGCAGTTCAAATTAAATTCAAGAATTTAATATCCAAAATTATTTATTGATCTATCTAGCAGAGAAATTAAAAAATATATCGGCTAAGTTTATTTCCTAAGTGGAAACGATATTTAGTAAAATTTATATGAGAAGGCAACAGAAACCGCTTTTCCCTGGTTAAACAAATTGTCTTACAGAATCTAGAGGAAAATCTAAATTACAAGAGAAGTACTATGAACAATTCACTGCCCATTAGGTAAACTCTTCAATATGAAATTAAAACCTCAAAATGATTTTAAAAAAACAAATTATGTTAAGTGTAAAAGAATAAGTGATCAATAATACTTGGATAACCATATATACCTAGTGAACCAGTCAAGGTTCAAAATTTCGATACGATATGCCCCATATCGGGTGTATTGTATCGTATCTTTTGGGTCCCAATACGCCTGTTTACAGGTGTTTCGGGACCCCACTCTTTTTTAATGAAAAATACATGTATTTAACTCCTCAAAAACCAAATTTTGAAAAAAAAAATCTAAAAAAAACATGTTTCCACGTGTATCGAAGTACCGATACGCCTCTGCCGATACACAGAGGTGTATCAATACTTTGAACCATGGAACCAGTATTAGACATGATACATACCTGACACGATACCAAATACTGAGTGGACACTTGTAGATACATTCAACAGCATTCACACTTAATTTAAATAAAATGATATGTTTTAATAAATTAAACTGTAAAAGAAAAAAAATCTGTGCTAGAAATTTAATTAAATTTGACAAGATTTGAGTATTGAGAAATGACAATTAGCTTCAAAAAACCAGGTAAAAAGACATGACATGAATATTATATGGGATAGCTGTACACCATATCCATATCCATGATTTTAGGAAATGAAAGCCGTACCCCCATTTCCCAATTTGTGTCTATATCAGTATCTAGATATGGATATCATAGGGAATGATAGCTTAAAAAAATGAAGAATAAGGAACATAATCTTTTAGCTTTTCTCAAAGCTAGACTTCAAGGCATTTTCCCTTGAACCTTGCCTCAAAACTAGCCTCAACAGACAAGCCTTAACCACAAGTCTCATTTACTATCCAAACAACTTAATTTAGCAAAAGTTAAATTAAAAAATGTGCCCTCCAAATACTGGTGTAAGGCATAACTTGAATTTTTCCCTTTGCTTCTAGTCAAGTGCTGTTGTTGCTGAATGGACTGATTTTATAGAACAAATCATGACATGCAAACTTGAAAACATATGGATTTTCATGTATAAGATGATTACAATCAGAAAGTGATCAAATGGCTAAAGAGAGCTACTCAACTTCACAATCAAGAATTTAAAATTTCTAGATCTGAAAAAATGATTAGCGAAAGTTCTTCCTTTCTTACCTTTTGTATCCTCCCTCTGTGGAAGGATTGAAAATGAACCAAATAAACTGGACATTCGCTCTAGTGCCGTCTCAGAGATGGACCTCTTAAGGGACTACAAAAAAAGGTGTTACAAGTACATAAGGAAATGTTTCATTTGGAATAGGGTGGTAAATTAATCTCACCAAATAAGAAACATCACACATGACAAGTTATAGTTGTGGGGCAGGAAATGAATGGAAGTAATTTAAAACATCTAGTAAATTCTCATTTGGTTATGAAAGAATTAAGGAGTCATTGTTTGGTGTAATGGTAAAATCGTGATCTGACAAGCATGAGAATGCAAGTTTAAATCTGAGAACGAAGTCTTACAGATTGTTTATTTCCAGTGCCGTATTTGCTCTGTATCTGTAGCAGAGTGACATGAGAAATATTAGGTTTCTTATTGGTAGGACAAGAATAAGCATCAAAATTGAAAACTAACACTCAAAGCCAATACAGCTAACAACCAGACGACCCTACTAGTTCACAAGAGAAAAAAAGAAAAACAATATGAACAGACAAAATTGCCAACCACCCTTACACACCTTCAATGAAAAGTCAGTAACATCTAACAAAAGCAACTTTGCTTCAAAGTAATGTGCTAAAGCCTTTGCAAGCATTTGTTGGTACATCTCTTCAAAAAAAATGGAAATTTGCAATCAGTTATGGAGGCGGATTATGCATAAACCTAAATATTTTCTAGAAAAAAAAACAGATGGATATTTGCAAGACAGCAAGAGAACCTACCAGCAGGTCCAGATAGCAAAATAGTCCGACTCGCAGGAGAAAGGTTCCGGGTGTACTTACAAAAGTTAGCTTCTTTCAAATGCATATAGGCAGCACTAGTCAATAACACCCGTGTCTGCTCACTGCCATTCAGATCAACAAGCGAAGTATATGAGAATATAGATATACTATAACAAGGAAACAAAAAGTAAAATGACATATTTGGGATGCATTAAGTCAAACTTTGGAAGATATAGACAGTATTGCTGAGCTACTGCAGAATTATGGCTCCGATCCCCCATTCCCCTACTCTACCAAGTATCTGGAAAAATTAGAAGAAGAACCAATAACTTAAGAGATCAACATACTCAACCTAGAAGAAGATGATATTGAACTAAACCCATAATAGCAAGACATGACTCTAATCTAAACACGTACTGGTAAAATAGAAATCATTGAGTTCATAATCTATACATGGTTTGCCAGCCGGATATAAACTTGGTCTCAGCAAACTGATGGTTCTTGTTAACCTGGGATATGAAATTATAACCATTAAGGTTCAATCAGCTGAGTTGACCAGTCTATGAAACTGCATGGCAGACCAATCTATTTTTCCAATCCATATGTCCAATAATTTATCAAGTATAAATGACTTTCTCAAGTCCACAAAATCCGTTAGAGATAAATTTAAGAACAGTAACAGCGAAACTATTTCAGAACAAAAAATTTCAAGGACAATGTCAAATTTTCTAGATTGTAAAAGATTGTTTTCGCAAAACCTTATGATACTAATTTAAATTACAACTTATAGTTATGGAGGAAAATACTATCTTGATAGGCTAATGTATATTTTCCCCAAGAATTCTGCATATAATAAGGTCAACTAGTATCTACAAGTTTAAACTTATGTAAAGAGAACTTTCAATGTTTCTCTTGTTTCTTAAAAAGGATTGGATATCCTAACTATCCCTGAAGAAAATAAGGAAGAAACGTAAAGTATTAGTTCAGACAAGTGCTATTTATTTCATAATATATAGGATCTCCAACTCCAACAATTCCAACTATTTCTGCTCAACTACGTAGCAATTTACGACTGGAGATGGGTGAATATATTCACCAGCAACTACCTACATAAACATGAGATAAGAATGAGCCTAGTGCCTCATTCTAACACATGTCCCCAACATTATGACTCTCAGCCTCAACAGTCAATCAAGATACAATAGGAAATCACGAATTGACAATCTTTTACAAATTTTAAGAGGATTTAATAAATTGATAAACATAAGTTGGTTAAATTCCGAATTCCACATAAGATTTTTTTTCCAATTCTCTAATCACATTAAATGAGACATACTAAATCGGGATCGTGAAAGCTTTTTTTTCTTTTGGGTGGGGGTGTAAATGAGACATACTAAATCCCGAAGGCCCTGAACAGAAAACCCATCATTACTAGAGCACCATCACGAAGTCTCTCCACGCCATAATATTAAATAGAAAGAAGCATTGAACTATAGACATTTAAAATTGAAACAGAATCACTCTCGTAATGGTAGAAAATAATGAAAAGGACGGATATGCACTGTAACTCCACAGAAAACTACACTCCCTTCCCCGAGGCAACGTGATGAAGCAGATCAAGATTGTTTACCGTCGTTGATGAAAATAACAGAACAGGGGAACACAGGATAAGCCTGTATGTTTTCTTACCTGAGGTAATAAGGGAACTCATCGAAGGTGACGTTGCTTTCTTTCCCATCGACAACCTGTCTCATCAGCTCCTGCTCGATCTTATCTCCAGTAATAGCATTTGAAGAACTGAGATTCGTCCATTTACTTATTGTCTGTCCAGAGGCTAAACCAAGCCCGACACCGACACCAACACCGACGCTCAAGGCCGACATGAGAATGTGTTTCTGCTCCATTGCCTTCGAACTCCCCAAACCCTATCTCTTTGTCCGAACTTCACCTCCCGTATTCCTATGTTTATTAATACAAAGAACCAGCCCGTTCTCCAAACTGAAAGCGATCTCTCCTTTTCCGGAACAAGGACAATAATTAGAAATTAATGCTTAAACTCCTTTGAGTCCTGCACTCAAATCAAGAAACAGAAATTTTGGAAGTTAAACGAAGCACGGAAAATCCTTCTTGGACTGAAAATCCACTCAAAATCCTGATGGACAAAGAGATGTACGACAAAAGCCGTCCAAAGTGCAAGTAAATATCCGAAGTCGTAACTAGATACCCGATAAATAAACTAAAAGAAACGTTCTAAATAGACAATATTTGCCAGTAAAGGAGAGAATCCGGCATCTCTATGATTTTTTTTTTTTTTGGGTAGAAATATCTCTATGAATATTGAAACGATAAACTAAAATCCCAGAGGCTTCAGAAGATTATCTCTCGACGAACTGAGGAACAAACCAAATGCGGTTCAAATTCGTCGGAATATCCGATACTTTTCGTTCATGAAACAATCCGAACGAAAAGTCTAGCGTCATAAGAAAGAAAACAGGATTAATATCTTCCTAACTGTCGAAAACGACCAGTAAGAGTAGGGCGGTAAACCGATTTTCAAACGCGGAGGAAAACGAACCAGAAAGATCAGTTCCCTTGAAGTTCCGACAAGAGAACCTAAAAATGCGATTGGTGTGACGTGCGTCGATCGTTTCTCTACCTGTCTCTCTCTCTTCCCTGCCTCGTTTTCCTCAGAGATCGCTCCCCCAACCTATATATAGCCACCGAGACCAGAGGATCTCGAGAGTCGAACCCTAAAAAGAAAGGCAGAAAGAGAGTCGTCGCTAGTCGCCAGTCGCCAGTAGCCAGAGCCTTTTTGCTTTTTGACTTTCCGTCCTCCGGAAATGTGAATTCCCGGTAAAAGCAGAGTCGTAATTTATATCGCCGGAGAGTGACACTGGAGTTGGAGTTGGAGTCGGAGTCGGTTCCCGCTTTTTCAGGCTTCTCCCTCGGTTTTTGAGCTTTATAGGAGATGGGTTGGCATGTAAAGTGCCGTGAATCCTACGTGTCACATTCTTGGCGGTGGAATTTGACGATCACTGACACTCCCAGTTGGCAATTTAAATGGTACCGAAGAATACGGTACCTCAGAAACCCACGTGAATTGGATGTTGGTGGTGGCTGACTGTTATTTATTATGTACCATGCCTTTTCGGCACCATACTCGCAATCATTTCTCTTTTCATTTTTAACTAAACTACTAAAAGTAATTAAGACTGGAGTCCACAGAATAACAGGTTACAGCGGTCGCTGGACGCGCCGAAATGTGGAGCCAATAATAGAACCGAAATTTGCTCCTCACATAGTCCAACTCACAAAGACCACGTATCTCCATCCCACAGTCTAGTAGGAATATCTCTCCATCAGTCCCATCAACTCACATGGACAAAAAATTCCAAAATTATGCCTTTACTAGCACGATTCATTCTAAATTTTTTATGGGATTGATTTGGTTTAGCGTTTAGCCAAATGTTTTCAATCCGCCGTTGACCCGGCCGTTTTAATTATCAACCGGCCAGGATTCGGTTCAGTCAAGCTCCGTAGATGATGAAAACCATTAACTTTGTCAAGAACCGTTAGATTCGGCCGGTTCAACTGTTGTTCTGTTTAATCCAGTGACCACTAGGTCGTAAGTTGTACATTATAAAATTTTTGGAAGGTATAACTTTGTATTTTATTGTTTGATTGGGATGGTTTTTTTTGGGTAAATTTTTGAGATTTATACGTCTTTTTTATCTTGCTATTTTCACAAAAAAAAAAAACTTTTTAGCCTTAAATTGTTTTTTTTTAATATTTTTATAAATAAAAAATTTAAAACTAAATTAAAAAACATATATAATACATATAACATATCTGAAACATATTTATACATTATTTATTGCTAAAATATATTTATACATACACACACACACATATATATATATATATATATATATATATATATATATATACATACTTAATATATAGGTGATGTGGCATGGTCTAAACCATTCGACCCTATTTGTCGAACCGATGACCCACGACCTGGAGGCAAAAACGGTTTGGCCTCCATGTCAGTTTTTAAAACATTCATTTGATTGTTGTTTTTATTCAAAAAATAAATAAAAATAGGATGTGGCCAAATCACTAAGTTTTACTTTTAATAATGCTTTTTCATTCCATTTAAATTTAATAATGTAAGAGCATGCGTTATATATATGTTCGACCATCATACCAGGGAAAAACTTACAGCCAACAAGGTGAAGGTTCTTTAAGTCCAGCACTTGAAGCAACTCAATGCTTCCAAGCTCGGATGGAATCATTTCGTCAATGGTATTTGATATGGCCAAAACCGACCACCAGTTAGAAACTACAAAGTGGCAGCATGTTGGGGGCAAAGTTGTCAATTGATGAGCTGACCTAGTCTTGACGAGCTACAAGTTGACCTGGTCCTGATGAGGTACCAACTAACCTAGTCCTAACGACATACGAGCTAACCTAGTCCTAACAAGCTACAAGTTGACCTTGTCTTGACGAGCTGATGTAATACCAACTCATAACATGCACAAGTAACACATGGCCAAGTTGATTAGAACATCAATACCAGCACATTCCATGTAGGCCCACTACCTACCACGTGTACACAATGTGTCAACTGAGGGTGCGACTAGTGGACTAAGCTCCAACCATGTGTGAGAGACATGTCGGTTCTTGGATGAAACCCCTCTCCTATAAATATGTGAGTCTACCATTCATTTGGACACAACTAAACATGGTAGTACGCTACTATGAACAAGGCACGCCGAACACCTCAGCACCTGGAGCTCACCAACTCTCCCTATGAGCTCCCCAACTCATCACATGGAGCTCACTAGCTCCCCTTAAAAGCTTTCCAACTCACCCATACGAGCTCTCCAACTTATCCATATGAGCTCTCCAGCTTTCTTTACGAGCTCACTAGCTCTCTACACGAGCTCTCATCTCATCTCACTAAGTTTTCCAGCTCACCTTATTTTCTCTTGTCGTTACTGACTTAACCGCAAGAGTCCATGCCCCTAGAATCGCCCAGGGCCTCTAACATTTCTTATGGTTGCAGGTCTCTCTTAATAGTCGAGGTACCGAGACGAGGTGTTGAGCCAATGTGACACTTCAAGACGAGGTGACACCCTACTCCAACAGCTTTCCACCCTTGCCCTTGTGGTCAATTTTGATCCTCATCAGTATTACTACGCAACCTGAGGACATAAAGCCTCTTCAGTTCTCCAATTTTCATGGGAATGCTCCCATTCAACCTGTTAAATCCTACACCTAAAATCCTTAAGGTTTTGGAGTTGGCAATGCTAGAAGGTATCTGCCCAATTAATTCATTTCTCGTAACATAAAAAATTTTACTCGATCACTACATACTCTGATCTTTGGGATCTTCTCCTGAAATTGATTAAAAGATGCATTGAGATAACTAATATTCTTCAACCCAAGGACATCTAAAAGGATTGGCCCAATGAATGAATTGCTACCTCCAAAAGTTCCAAACTTTGGCAAGCTATAATCTTCTCAGCCACAGACAGAAAATTGCTTCTTACAGATACATAAGCCATGCTAGGAGGGACACAAATTTGTGCAAGAAAACTTCCACGGAGATTGCTGAAAGAAAAAACAAAAACCAACGAGGCTCATACAGTTTACTATAGACAAGGGATTGAACAAAGCCCAAGGAATTTCACCAATAAAATCATTCCTCAACAAATCAAACAAGCAAAGATTTTGAAAATCACCAATATACTTAGAGATTTCAAATCCAACAACCAGTAAACCGATTCCCATATAGCAATATTATCCTTAGAGATTTCAAGTTGGATAGACTTGGCGACAATACTCCTGCAATACTGGTGTTCCACAACACAATTTTCTCCACTTTCATAGCCAGTCGTTCAAGAATCAGACCTTTGATTTTGAGTTCTCGCATGTGTTTGACCGTGGAAGTTCATAGGGGCTCCTCTCCTCTATAATCTATAAATCTTGTTTCAGATTACCCAGGTGCACAAATGCAAGAATTGTAATTAATGAGACAAGCAGTATGAACAGTAAAAAAATGTGATTTCCTAAATTAATTTGGGCATTTAGAAAACTTTAAATGGTAAAATAAATTAGAAAAGGATAATTTGGGCATTTAGAAAACTTTAAACAATTAGATAAGAATCTTTTTCAAAATTAACTAACGGAATACTAACGAAGGGGGGGTTGTGTAACGGCCATAATTTAGGGGGGTCTTTGTCGTAAAAAAAGTGCAATAGGGTTTTTATCATTAACCCCATAGTATAGGGGTCTGTAATTTTCCCTTAATTTATGATATGCACTCAAATCAAGTCAACCCCATAGCATTTTAAGCGGGGAATATTCAGTGTATAATTTATTTTATTTACTAAGAGGTTATTGTTGCTTAGTTCATTTCATTTGTTGACAAGAGAGATTGATGATCTCATTTAGAATTAGAGTATGATGGACAGAATTATATGGTCCATAATATTGTATGGAGTTGAATGGCAATTAATAAACAACAATGTAAAAAAAAATGAATGTGGTGGAATGTGAATGTTAAATGAGTGAAAAAATTTAAATTAATAAAGGTCAAGATTAAGTCATTCAATTAAGGAGCTTGAGTATGGCACCAAAAGGTAGTAAAATGAGAGAAGATATGCTAATATGGTTTGATCACATGCAGAAGAAAATCATCTACAACATCTATAGGAAGTGATGTATGACAAGTTGGGGGGATTGAAAAGGGCATTTGATTATACTGCGCTCGACCGTTGACACTATATGGTTGGAATAAGGCTTAGATGACGATGAGGTGCACATCAATTACCAATTTTGATGCCCTAATTGCACCGCTAGATGATGATGATGACTATGATGAAGCAAATTGTTTCCCTAGTAATATAAAAGCTTTAAACAAGATGTGGGGAAAAGGTTAAAAAAAAGAAGACATTTGTTTATGCAACTCTAAGTATATTTTCCTGCTATAAAAAATAGAGCAACTCTTGCATTTTTTGCACTATTGAAATGTTAGGGCACAATAAAAGACATTTTCTAGGGTGAAGAAAATTGTTCGTTGTTTATCCGCATTTCTACACAAAGAATAAGGAAATGGCATGTTTAACTCCTTCATTCTTCTTTACAGCAATGTTTTTAAACCGTCTTTGATTTATTGTCAGACTTTGTAATCTATGACCCGGTCACATTACTGAGTCTATTCCACCCTTGATTCGATTATTGGCAAAAAAGTGTTGATTTAATCAATAATCAATTATGCAGCCAATTGAACCATTAACCCATTCGACCCAATGACATAATGAACAGATCACAAGTTAAACATTAATTTTTATTCTATCTTTTTATAGTCATTTTTATCATTGATAATAATTTGTATAATTCAATATAATTAATATAATTAATATTAAAATATGCCCAACTTTTTTCCTTTTGTAATTTTTTTTATAATTTCTTTTATTTTTGTATATTTTATCTATTATTTAATTATTAAAATACATTACTGTATAATGTATTGATCCATTTGACCCATGTGGTCGAACAATTAACCCACAACGTGAAGACAAAAAATGGTGAGTCGTATCTTTAAAACACTGATTTACGGTGTAGCTTATTGTAACAATGGTGCTTATTCTTGTTCTACTAGGAAGCCCCAAAGTGGGACTGAGATGAGCAATAGCAGCCAATTCTTTACAACTCAAAGCAAACTTTTTTTGTCTTTTCATTTTGGCCACCTTTGTCGAAAAGAAGTAAAAGAAGAAGAAGAAAAATTAAAGAACGCAAAACTTTCTATTTGTTTTGTTTTTTATTCTATATTTATTCATTGCCATTTACTTTAAGGAACACAACCTCTTTCATCAACTTGTTTACTTTCCACGTAGTGGCCATCAGTTTTGAAATTTTTGATATTAC